GACTGAGATAATTAATTTTGATTTGAAAAAATAAGTAGGTTAATGTATAATCCCAATCTACTTATCAATATATATATTATTTACATACTGTACCTATTATGGCAACTATCCGAAAAACTAGACCCAAAACTAATAGCTTCACCTCCATTTTGGATCAGATCATCAATAAATATAACCTATCAGCTGAATCAAACCCGCTTCAATTACGTGTTCATGCTGATGAGCTTGGTACTATGCTACCAGATTGGAAGGATCGTAAAGATGTGAAAGTGCTTTTCACTGGCACCTATCCAAAAACAATCAAATAGAAGATCTTGTATTGGACAAAAGGGGGAAAAACTTACTATCAAGAAACGAGCTCAATATTGTGCAAAAACTGAAGATGTTTGGGGTATTTGATTACATGCTTTAGACTTAGCTTTTTCAAAAAATAATACAGATGAGGCAATTGTGATGATCAGTTCCTGTCTATCGCAATTTCGTAAAGAATTAGCAGAAGCTGGAGTTGATCCTGAGCAAATTAATATATATGCAAAATTACCAAATGTTACTTGAGCTTATAACAAAATTCAGAAGAGAAAACTTGAACGGGGATTAATCAGTCAACCTAAAATGTCTAAACTTCTCCTTAGAAGAGAGGCTTAGAAGACTTCAGAATATCCGTACCACTGAGACCCCCACTCTACAAGATCTCGCAGATGTTGATTATGAAGTAACTACTCTTCGCATTATCCATTGTGAGCCTGATGAATCAAATCCTCTGGAATGGTATAATCCCAATTACTCTTGGTATTCTACTGGATATATTAAAAATAAAGGAGAAGCAAAAAATAATTCTGAACCTCAACCATTTCTACCCATAGAAAAAAATTCAGAACGTGCAAGAGAATCGCTTACCTGGATTCAAAATGCAATAGCGATTGAAAGTTGCGTAATCCTGTCTATAGTATCAATGGAAAACATAGTACAGGTGTAATTAGTAAACTTTTAAAGCCAAATGGAATTACAGCTAAAAGGTTAAGAAAAATCGGAGGTAAACATACTTCTAGAGTTCATGTTGGTCAAAATTCAACCTCATAACACCTAGCTTTTCTCAGCAGGATTGCAATGAGGCATAAGACAGATTGTCATGATTCTGGAATGTATTATGCTGAGGGTGATACTTCCGATTCTGATCTTGACTCAGATCTAGAGCCTGAACCCAAAACTCAAGTTTTTATAACCAACCCAATTGATAAAAATACTTCTACATCTGAAATTGAGGATATCTATGACTTATATAGGAATATCTAGATTAGTGATATATTAGTTATTAATCGTCAGATGCAATATGTTTACTAACCACGCTTCTTCGCTTTCACCACATTCATAGTAAAATCTTTATCATAGTTGCCAGAGGTAGTCACTTCGTGCTAGACGATCAGAGTCGGACCAAAATGAGGATGAAGATGATGATTCAGTTGAGGATGAAGACGGGGAATAATTATGAATGCGCCTTTTCTTTTTTACAGATATAACACATCCTTGTTCAATAATATTTGGGTTTATTATCGTGTTTATAATATCTTGCTTAATCTTGGGTTTCACTATCTCCAGTAATCGGTAAATAGAGATCCAGATTTTTTTTACCCGATACTTGCTTAACAATATCAGATACCATTTTATTGGTAATATTGGGTAGAATTCATACCATGTTGCATTGTACGTTATTGCATATTTCGTAATACAATAAATATTGATTATTTATCGCAATAATAAATTCCTATATTTCACAAATTCGTGTATATAATACATTATATTTTTTAGCTAGATCCCATAATGCATTTGCTGAACCCTTAGCAATAATTATATCACTAATTGCTTCAGGTAATAAGCCTGATCGTAATCTTCTAATCATTTATATACGCAGAAGTTAAAACAATATTAGATATATATGCAAATATATAATGAGTTATAGCAGAGTGCGAGATAGGTTAAGTAAATATGGTGAAAATTATATCGTTAACAATATTAAAACATCAGAAGCATGGTTACGATTTGCAAAATATTATCCACCAAAATGCGTACGCAAATGTTTATTAAACCTAGGATATGAAATAAATAGTAGAGATTATTGGGAAAATATTGTATTTCGTATCAAAAATAATTTGATAAGCCATAAACAAATAGGTAATGACCCTGAATATAGAAATTTTAAAGTTCAAATAGCATTGTATAAAAAAAATCGTGCGCCATTAATTATCCAGCGGACATTTCATTTATGGAGAAGACAAATTAATTCTGCTAAAATAATCCAGCATGCAGTAATCAAATGTCCTTATAGACCTGGTGGCACATTAATTAAACAAGCCAAAGATCGATATTATTACGAAGCAATGGCCCAAAGGGTCTATCAAATGAGAATAAGCTCCATCATTAGATAAAGATCTTATTTCTGCAATTGGGCCCTTTAGGGTGACCCTCTGGGTCATAATTATATCAGATTTCTGTCATTGTAATTGTTTATTAATACGGATTTAAAAGCGCGCCTAAATTTAATTATCCGAACATTAGCTTTTTTTCTGATTAAAGATATATACTGTATAATACATTACTTGAAAATGGCGCAACTATTGCGGAGCAATGAACAAAAGGGTCTAAATATTTTTAATTTACCGGAATTGCTAGAACAGGTCTTATATTTTTTAGAAATCGATCGATCACTCTATCCCACTTTATTTGTTAACCACTTTTGATATCACTGCGGTGCTCATATTCTATGGCGTCGCATTGAGTTATCAACAAAAATTATCAACAGAGTCGACGTGCCTTAAATATCTCTTGGGTTCTTATTCGGCGATTGATAAAGTTTAAAAGAGTAATGTGTGGAAAAATAAAGCCACTCTATTGTTCAAAGATGGTATATCTCAGGTTGGAAGGTTTAAAAATCTCAGATGCATTGATTAGTACGATTCTACACTCATGTCCAGATATGCACACTCTCATTCTTGATAAAAGTAGGGGTTTCACTAATATACCAATTATAAAAATTGCGAGATTTTCTCCGAAACTACAGCATCTGAGTCTTAATTCGTGTGAATGTCTCACCAATCGTTGTATTACTGAAATAACGCGTTCATGCTCAAAACTTAGACATCTTGAGCTTGGTGATTGCTCGATTAATAATAAAGCTGTCGAGGAAATAGCCCGCAATTGTACTAATTTGAAATATCTTAGTTTGGAGGAATGTAAAGGGATTAGCGAAGAAGTGATAAAGAAACTCAATTAAAAAATTAAAATTAAACATCCAGGTTATTCCGATGATGAATTCTCGGATTCTGATCTACTCCCACTTACTCCAGATTATTCCGATGATGATTTCTCTGTTTCTGATTTACCTTCACTTATTCCAGATCCATTAAGGGTATCTCGAAGAGTTATCTTTACCGGTGGACCTAATAGAATGGTGACTGATTCAGAACGAATTAATTTATTAAATAGTCTTGCTCGAGCCATTGAACAAGGACTACATCGATCGTGGCAAGGTCTTTAGGCAGATAATTAATTATCCGAACTTGATTATTTTTTCTGGCAAAAGATATAGTGTATAATATATTATTTTACCAATGTTCATAAAAACTCTCGTAGAGGGAAGAATCCTAGTAAAAGCATTAATCAATACAAAATATAAACCCAATACCATTAGCAAGAGCTTATTCGATAAGCTTGAAGAAGATTATGGATTAGAAAGTTTATCTGACGATGAATTGATCGGTGAAGAAATAAAAGGCTTAGATTTACAGTTTCACTATAAAGGAAATTGGCAAAGCTTAGATTGTACTTAAGTAATAGACTTTCAAATTCACAAAAATCCATCGTATGATCTGGTATTGGGACAAGATTGTTATGGATGCGTGAAGCAAAAATAATCTTTTAACATTCTCCCAGAACCTATGTCCGCCACGCTAAAATTGTAATAGATGGTATGAGTATCCCATTAATCGAAGAAGGTAGCAATAAAGCCAGCTCGAGTAAAATGACTCATCTAGCCATAAAGTGACTGCTTCCAGCAATTTCAGGTCCATTAGGGATAACTCTTCTCGCTATCTATCTGCAAAAGATATTGAGTGTACAATTAAAACTGCAGTAGATCCCCTTTCTTCCGATCTTCACAAATCCCAACATTGTCATTGAAAAAGAAAAAATATGGAAAGATAAGATTATCAAAACTGTTTTAGTATCTAAATCCAATTCTCTAAGTCATGATAACCTGATTTTTTACGTTGCACGTTCTCATTGCCCGTGATGTGTATTCGAGATGCAGGCGAAATAGGCCTTTATTGCATATAAATCAAGTAACAAACAAAATATCGAGTGATACGTGGAAAATGTGATACATGCACACGATTTTATAGGTGAACGATCACCCAATGCACAATAATCGACATAAATAATACGAAATCGCCATGTATTGCCTCGATTTAGTACGAGATGTAAGGAACCAATGCTATGGATCGTTAATGCGAGGTTTTAATGTATAAAAACATATCGAAATCGCAGGATGTGTGGGTAAGAAATCAAGTTGCCAAATCAATCATTAAACAATCGCGCAATCGCAACTCATTAAAACCGTCAAGTAAATAAATAACCACGAAAAATGCAACTCAATATTCCTGATAATTTTTTATTTGCGATTCTCTTTATACACAAACTAAGGCATAATGCTTAAAATATAAATTTAATGAAAAATTTTGTCTTTGTTCAAGTTGCTAATTTTTCAAGTACCCCCAGAATATCTTTTGCCTTCTTCTTTATGTTTTCGTAGTCGAGTTCATAATTGTCTTCTGATTTACTTCGTCTCTTTCTTCAAACGATAATGGAATGTAACTTTCAGCCAGTTCAAAAAAAATCAGCAATTTGGTTATATACTTCATCACTATAACTGTTTTTATCGTCCAAGTAAACTTTTAAAAATAGTTTGAGTAAATCATCCCTTTCAACTTCCGAGTTGGCAATTCCATCGAGGATGTCTTCATACACTGTAAGTACGACTGCACGTAATTTGAATGGTGGTTGTGTTACATGGTTGTACGTATTGAGTATCACTTAGTTTCCATCCAGACCATAATTGATAATCTTTATCTCCACCACGGTAAATTATAACACAGTTATGAGATACAGAGGCAACTATAAAGTACGCATCTTGATTCTTATAGGTTCCACTATAAACATTGTTTATGTTTCTGTGAATAAACTCTTGAAGGGTTCTCTGAAGTTTCTCCCTGTTTTGATTATCCCAATGGTCATTTTCGGTAAATCCCCAATGTTCTCTGTGTCTATCAAATATATGTTGCAATCCCCTACGTATATAATTAATCTGATTTATATCAAGGTACATAAATACAGGATTGTATACATTGGCATATGAATAAGTTTTATATTCTCCGCGAACTTCATAGGCGTTTAGCCTAATCTGATTCATTCCAGAAACAGTTCCAATCCAATGACTTCCAGAATATACATATCGACCGTCAGGAATAGTCGAATGGTTGCTATGATTACGTATATAGAACCAATGCCCATCGAGCCATTCTCTATTTGATTTGCTATCGTCTTCATATAATCCAATCCAGTCCCATGTAGATGGTGTAATTATTGACCAATCAAATTCTAATTTTCCAGAGTTTATTATACACCTTAAGTAGCGTATTTCTCTTCTTTCGGTTTGCGACATTATGTAGGTTTCTTCAGAGTAAAAAAAAATAAGTTTGGTTGAATTTCACGACACGAGTTAGAATTTATAGTAACAATCAGGTCACACGATTACACCATGCATGTGATATAGCATGTGATAAGTATTATGAAATAATGACCTGATCGAACATCTGTTATGCAATCGATTTTATTACTACACTATTAGATGGGAACTAAACATGTTCCACGATAAGAACCAGGAAACAAATCTTGAAAAGGCAGTAAGGAGGATCAATCAGACCGTCAATCTCCATTAGTGTGTATATTAAAGGGCTTATGACTTAGGAAGTCAAAATCTATGAGTTGCGTAATCAAATACTACAATTTTTTTTCATTTCTTACTTGCATTATCTCACTTCAGCCGGAGGTGCACTTGTTTAAAATACATGAAATAATTCAATGAAAAAAAAACACTAAAGCTCTACTCTGTTCTACGCCATTTACGAGCATGCTCACCTGTATAATGTTTAGTGAAAGTGTAACGATCAGAGAAAGTTGCGTCACATTCAGGGCAATTAATTTGCAATTCTTCATTCTCTGATGATGATTCTGAAGATTCCTGTGATCTAAAATCAT